TGTTTATTGTGCTAGGTAAACATAACAGATATTTGTAAGTTCCATACAGCAGTGTAGATTTAGGTACTAAAATACATTTTTTTTCTCAAAATTTCCCTTAACCATGCACAATTTTCCTGAACAACACTTTTTTTTTTGCTATTAAGAATCCATTGGGCATCAAAAAACCCCAAACTGTAACACAAACAAAAGGGGACATCTGTTAAGCAGACAACAGCAGGCTCCAGGCCTGATGAATTATTGTTGTCCAAAAAGCTTTCGTGCTGAGTACCAGCTACTGGCTGTGTGTCTTTCCAAGGCTGGAGCTTTTGGTGGGCCCTGGGTGAGAGGTATCAGCAGGGCAAAACAAATCCATCACTCTAATGTGGATCCAAATGTTCACATCAACCCTGTGGGTCACTGTGCCGAGTCCCTAACAAGGATGACTTATGTCAGGCATTCCTGGAAGCCTCTGCTCTTGGCAGTAAGAACAGGCTCCTCTTGGAATATGAAATCCACTCCACAGCTAAGTTTTCCAGACTGACAAATGGAAGCTGGGCAGGAGGATTTCACCTCCCTTTGGGGCGTAATGTTTCCTTACATGTGCTGGCAGCCCTCAGTACAATCTCATAACTCAGGGACCAGGCTGTTTTCAAATGTTTTTGTGACTCAGAATCCTTTCTCTGGCAGCTCAAAGGAAACTGGAGGCTATGGATCCTATTGTGGGGTGTTAATTACCATCAAAGGATGGGATCACCAGTGGCCAGGCAGCTAGGTTGGCACCACACACATACCTAGTTCTCACCAAAGTGAGCACAGCATCTGTAGCACTTGGATGGGTGCTGCAGTCACTGGGGGAGCACAGAGATGCTGTCCCTTTATCTTCAACATGCTATCTGAACATTTGCATCATGTACAACGAACAAGGCCAACATTTCATTTTTAGCCTGCTTGTATAAGGACTAGTCCTTAAGATAACCACCACCCTAGAGGCAGGCCATGTTCCTGATAAATGCAACTCTTTAAATGAAACCCTTTCCATAACACAAATCACGATTTTAGATGGGAGATGGAAGGATATAAAGAAAATATACAGAACTCCATTGGGCTGCTTGACATCTCAGGTAGAAACTGAATCAGGAAGCGGAAGCAACATGGTTTTAAATCCTGCAACATGTAAGGCAGCTTGCCAGATACAAGAAAAGATGCAGGAAAGTAGCACGTCTATGCATTTAAAGCCTGCTGCTCAACAGAGCATGGGATGTGTGTATAAAAAGCACACAAATAGCATTGTTAAATAATTATATATAGATATAGATATCTTAAAACATATCTTGACATCATAAGTGTGTGTGCATTGTGTATATGTTAATGTGTAGATAGGGACATAGAAGAGAAATCATAACTTGGCTTCAGATGATTATAAAAGATTATACTTAGCCAAAGGCTAATTTGAAGTGGCTTCTAATTTTATTTGTGGTGTTGCATGTGAATATGTGGGTGAATATTCTAGTATTTATGTGTTCATGTGTGGGCATGCATGTGGTAGACCAGAAGTCAACAGAATGTAGTACTTCTTCAATGACTCTTCATTTTCTTGTTCTAGTCAATGTCCTTCACTACTGACTGGACCTACTGACTGGCTAGGAAAGCATGTCATTAAGGTCCAGATATCATCCAGTCTCTACCTCTCTCCAGAATGTATTTACATATATGTACCATAGCACCCGGCTTTTCATATGGGTGTTAGGGATCCTACCTTGGATCTTTATGCTTAGGTAGCAAGCCCTTTGCTAATTGAGCCATCTCTCAGGAATCCATATCAGGTCGTGGAAGGCTCATCAGCGAAAGAGAGTCCCACGAAAGGATTTACACACTCAATAAGGAATTTGGAGAAGTGTATGGCTCAAGAAATGGAGCACACAAAGACACATACATGCATAAATATGTGTGTGTGTGTGTGTTGGGGGAGTCTATGTCTATATGCATAGAAGTGACCCGTACTTCAATTCCAAGCTGTACCCACTCATTTACAGAAACACTCTCCAACTCACTGTATATTAGGTCTCTAATATTCATCCCCATCTCAAAACACACTCCCTCTTTTCACCTCATTGGATGTGTTGTGCCCTGCAAGCATATAGTCACAATTAAGGGTATTCTTCAAGCCAGTGAACATCCTGCATTGAGTGGGTGCAAACAAAGTGCCCATGAACATATGGGCTTTGACAATGATGCAAACAAGATGGGCATATTCCTGATGTAAATGCTCAACCCTCTACCACATTCAGGACCAAATTTAACCTTTACATCAACTCATGACAACATATTACCCAGTCTGATTTTTATCTGCTTTTTAAAATTTCATCTTTTCATTTTTTCTCCTTTCCTAATTTACAAATATAGTCTTTAAATAAGGCATGTTGATAATTTTTTTCCAAATTATATCCTCACTTGGAGCCTTTGAACACATACTTTCCATTTCTTAGCATGTTTTTTTTTTAATTCCCAAGAACTCGTAAATACTTTTCAATAGTAACTGTGTTTATTGCCTTCTTTTGATAAAATATTACCAATATAAATATCGATATTCAAGTCAATATTTTTCATATTATCCTTTGTATAATTTCACCATGACCTATAATACCATAATAAAATAAAATGTATATGCCATCATAATAAAATAAGATGTTTATTGTTAACACATCTCAGATAAGTTTTGAACTCAAAGACATAGTCGCTTTCATCTGCATTCATAGAACTCTGTAGAGTACATAGCACATATTAGGTATTTTATATACCTTCTCTCCACAGATGGATCAGTGAATATTCCATATTCGTGACTTTTCCTAGATTCTCCCTAGAGAAGAATCCTGAAATATTAAGACTGGGGTGCTAATTCCTGGCAAGGATCACTCTTTTCCCTGCCCTTTTGGTGGTGTATATTTCAACAGGATTATGTCTTTGACTCCTCCAGGCAATGAAAATCCAGAAGCAATTTTTTGATCTTCTTTTTGAGGGCAGGAAAGTAAGATGATGAACACAGAAGAGGTTACAAGATACTATAGGTCTGGAATTTGAATTGTCTTTTGATTTTTTTTCCTTCAACTTTACGTGCATGTTACAGAACACTGAATTTCTTAATAGAAAGGATAGATTTTCTGAGATGTAGCAAGAATTTGAAAAAGAGGTGTGAAAGGAAAAGACTACCAATGCTCTGATTTCTCTAAACTGCAATGGTCATGTCTTTCTTCTAAACCTGGTGCTAAAGTGTGGCAGAGTTTTGCCCCATGCCGATCATGGAGTTTCTCTATAATTATTTAAATGTTTAAAAAACTATCTGCAGCTGGTGAGCAGCTTAGGAAACGCCATCTTTAGCAGTCATCACCATGCATGCAATATTGTCTGTTTCTTTTGTATTAGTATTCAAATTTCAGAGATTATTTCAGACACAGTTTTTAACCTCAAAAGTATGGCTTGGGTAAAGTAAAAATGCTATGTGTAAATCTTTGAAGGATAGAAAAAAAAAATCCATTTTCTTGTTGTTGCTGCTGCTGCTGAGGTATTGGGATGCAGACTGATGCTTCTGCAGCCATCCTAGATTAGTATATCCCACACTTCACAGAGTTGGATATCAGAAGAAGTAGAAGATACTGGGTCTCTGATACCAAGCAACTGTAACACCAGCTCCAAATATTCTTCCCATATGGAATTCCACACGATAGAAAAGTATTTCTGAAATCTATCACTATTTTTTAATTTCCCTCTCTCATAGTCAAACCCAATACTAACTAAATATGAACACCATGTATACAGTAAATGTCATTTACACTATGCATCTCCTCTCCCATGTGTATCTGCGCCCCCAAGGTTTCTCAGGCTTTCGCTTACTGGTCTTGTTCATCTTATAGTTCAGTCTCAAAGATTTGTCCCTCTGTCTGCTGAAAGGCCCTCTGCTATTTTTCTCTATGGTAAATCTCTGTTCTTCTCCTCTGTATCTTCCTTTGCTATAAAGGAATCTCTTCTAGCAAGGAATACATGACCCCCATGTGACCCCATACCCAATAGAGGGTTTGGTCAAACTGTCCAAATAATCACATAGAGTTCTCTGTTCTGGTTGGGAAATGTGCTGTGAGCTAGTGTTAGCATGTAGCAGGTGCCAAGTTGCATGCTTTCATATATGATTCCATTTCATCTTTCCCATAACTTTGTGATATAGATATGCCCATTCCCAAGGCACATATAAAAACCCTGAAGTTCACGGAGATTTAATTGCTTGCTTACGTTTTCAGAACGAGCCACTGCCAGATGCAGGATATGAACCACACCTGCCTCTCTGATTCTATAATGAATGGATTTTCCAGCACATCTTATATATCCAGTGTGTGTTTAAATAGTTTAAGAGGTACAAGTTTGAAATTTGTGAAAACCAGTCATCACGATCTTTACCATAGAAGATAGTCCAGCCTCTGGCTCCTCCAACCTCTGTAAAATGTACACTTAAAGAACAACAAAGTCAATACTTGCTGTGACTTGGTTTCATAGGCTTTTATGTTGGATCGCCCAAGACTTGCAGAAATACCAAGCCTTTCAGGACCTTAGCAGGTTTGATGTTTGTGCTATAAGTGCAGATGCTATGGTCTTTGGAAAACATTCATATTTAGGGCAATTTAACTGCTTAGGAACTCCCTCTGAGAATCCAAGAAGGAAGCTGTCTTCTCTGTTTATTGTCTTCTTCTGTGTGAGGACCCAGACTGGTGGAGACCTGAGGTCAGTGTAGAGGGGAGCCATTGTAAAACTGAAAATACCACTCAAGTCCAATTATAAGTGTAATGACAGCATGCTGTGTACATAAAATCTTATAATTATGACATACCTAGTATCTACAGATGATACAGCTAGAACATCACACAGACAAGTTTTTCTACTGGCCTAGGCGCTACATATCTAAAAGAGAAAAAGCCATGTGATAGCCGCTAGTCCAATGTCTGGAGACACAGAGACGGCACTGAACCTCGAGACTAGGGGACAGATCTTCTTCTCCACCCCGAACCTTCCTCATTTTCTTCTTCTTCATCCTTGTTAAAGGCACACTCCTGGATCTGCCGGTCCAGCTCAGTGAAGTTCTGTTCCGAGTCTGAGCTGCTGTCTGCACTGTAGTCGATCTCCTCCATGCAAGATGGCTCATCGTCTACCTCAGATGTTCTGTTGCTGCTGTTGTTGCTGCTGCTGCTACTGCATCTGCAGTTTATCTCCCCCAGCAAAGAAAAGAATGAGGTAGGAGAGGAAGAAAAACACATAGGGAAAGGGAAATAGACACAGGGTGGTAGAGAATGGAAAGAGGAAGGAAAAGATAAGTTAGCCAGAAGGAGAGAACTTATAATATATAACAGGAAGGTAGCCAATCCCCATACTGAGATTTACTGTAATTTATTCTTTGAAAATTTCTCACTACCCTGTTCAACTCCTCCAAGACCCACTACTATGCCACAACTACCTATTAATTCTATATTCTCTTTTGCTTAATGATACACTAAGACCAATTGGTGCTGTGTGTATGTGATGGTTTGAGGGCTCTCCTTCAAGCAATGGAAAATGTAAGAGAAGCCATCCCCCCGAAGAAAGTTGACTCTTCCTCTCACAGTGACCTTCAACTTCCAGGAAATCCTCAACAAGGGTTGGAGAATCATGAGCTCCTCTCCCATCCATGCTGTGAGTTCAAGACTCATTCCTCCCTTAAGTGGTTTTCACACTCAAACCCTTTTGTCCTCCATTCCTCTCTTGGGAGTTAGTAGGGCACCATTCAAAATCTTTAGACTCCTTTCTTTCTCTGCTAAGTCTCCACTGCTTTTCAATTGGTAAGCTTCCAACTAAAAGATGTAGACAGCCTGGCATATGTAGCACACTCAAGATAGGTTAAGCTTCATGTGGTAGCAACTGGAAGTTTGTCACTAAATGTCTGAGTTATATTCTTCCTGGACAGAGTAGGATTGGATCAAGGTAGAGAGGACCCCTAGACATAATAGTCTTCATTCTACCAATGCACACTGTGGGACTCACAGAGCTCTCCTGCATCATGATGAATAGTTTATTGGAAATAGAAATTAATACAGATTGAGATTAATAAATGAGCATGCAAGAAAACAACATTCTGTTCCTTCCATGCTTACATTTCTTCATTATCTCCCTCTCTCTAATATATCAACAACTGAAGGATCAACAGGGGCTGAGCAGCAAAAGACAACAGGGATCAGCTGCAATGGACCAAAGACTTTACTGCATATTGTGAACAGAGGGAATTTCCTCCCAAGGAGCCATATATCTCCCTCATTTGCATGAGATACCTGAAGACTTTCTAATCACTCCCTACTTAGGACTTAACCAATTAGGATTAGCAGCATGCTGGGTTTCTACTTGTGATTTATAGAAGGCAAGCACTTCATAAATCAGGCAGTGCTGTTCATCCACCTGCTTCTCCATAAACAATGGAAATGGGTAATCAGTGGCACGGTTACACGTTAGATGAGGAAATGAATCAGGCCAGCTTCTTAATTGTTTACTGATGGACAGGAGCCCTGCCCCCCCAGTGCTCTCCACATGCTCTGTTTCATAAACTGAAGGTGTGATGAGTCACAAATGGAGAAAAGGGAAGAGAAATACAAACTTTGTTTGACCAGTACCATGGCATTAAATGGCCATTATATTTTACAGACTGAATTGTCAGTAATAGAGTTATTGAATAAAGTAAAGTAAAAGCTACCAGCGGTAGGTAGACTCTATTCAGCAAGAATCCTGAGTGTCTGAAACTTTTCTGCTATCTTCCTGGGTACTATGGTGACACTTCAGTCGAACATAAACAGCCTGATTTCAAATCCTGGCTATGGGACTTTGGAGAGAACCCTAACCTCAGAAAGAGAACTCAGTAGATGAGGTGAATTCTGGTAGAGAAGCAAGAAGATATTGTCTAGCAGAGGGCCTTGTGAAAGAATGTCAGTCAACAAATTTCAATTCCATTTCTTTGCCTTGGATGTTAAGAAGACAGTAAAACACAGTACAGAAGAAAAGTATGCATTTAAATATATATCTCCCCACTCATGTTACTGCAGTAATTATTGCAGACAAATGGGTGTTGCTAGTAATTTCTCTAGAATGTGCCTTATTTTCAAATTTAGTACCTTGCAGCAACTCTCCATTGCTCCTAAATGGAATATGAATATCAATGGGTTTAGTAGATAAAATGTTCAAACAGGGTTCATTTTCAGGAGAAAACATGAGCATTTTACTCTCAAAAGGCTTACACTACCGGAATAGTCTGTCCCAGTCTATCACAACATTGTGGCCTCCCACTACAGTCTTGTTGATAAATTGATCATGTTATTATCCTTCACACACGTCAAACTTGAAGCTTCTCCAATATTTTATTCATTCAAGCAACTCCTTATATTTATTATCTTCTAAGCTCTCAACATCCAAGCGAATGAAACATGTCTCCATTAAAACACCCATCTTAACTTTTACAAACAGACCATTTTGATAAAGTTTTCCTTTACTGAGTAATTCCTCTCTAAATATTAATCTTTCATAGTTACTGAATTGGTATTGAACTAGAACTTAGCTATTTAATTGCAATTAAAATACAGATCATATCTTTACAAATTCATATCTATTTTATTCTACAAAATATCTGGAATGTGTGAGAACTCAGCAAGACAAAAAGTTGCCAAACTGAACGTGTGTGAGAGGGATACTTTGAAAAACCTTTGTTGCAAATAATTCTATATAGTTATTTTTTATTATTTTTTGAAAATTTCTGGTTTCTAAAATTTTTTTAGATGTTATATATGACACAATTATTATATCACTGGTCATTAATTATGTAAAAAACAAATAGTTTCCTGTAGGATGGTAGATAGAAGTTAAATAGTTCAAAGTTACAGATATTGCAGAAAAAATGCATTTGTGCACCAAATGTAAACCATAGTGACTAAAGGTAATAAAATTATAATATTCATTGAACTTTCTTAAATAGATAAATAGACTTTTGGTGCTTCTCTTATATACACAAAAACAAATATGTTTGGTTGACTTTGCTAAAGTAACCATCTTTCATCCATCCATAGCCCATTATGACTTGATGTAGATTTCAAAGACAAGCAATAGTATGTCAATACTATTTCACCATATTTAGATGGCTAAACAAACCAAAGAGGATGTTTCATGGGCAAGAAAATTGTATGTTAAAAAGCATGTAAAATGAACATAAATGAAAATCGATTAGACACAAATAAAGTTATACCAAAATAAAATAAAAATATGTAGTAGTAAATATCTAAAATTCAGCACAGTTGGTACATCATACTTTGAATCCCAGTAGTTGGGAGACTGAAGCAAGAGAATTGCCATGAGTTCTAGAAAGTTTGGGTTGTAGAGTGACGAAAATCTACATAAAGCATAAAATAGAAAGTTTAATATTTTTTTCTTATGTAGAGAATTTTTATTACAAGACACTATAACAATTGGGTAGATACAAATTAAATGCATCAAAAGATAAGAACTTATATGGAATGGATCATTCCAATGTCTCTAGAACTATTCAAAAAATTAGATTCATAATCCCAAACATTTTGATAAAGCAGTGTTTAGGCTCAGATATTTTCACTAGGGAAGTATGTGAAATGATTAAAGAAAAAATAACAACAGTTCTATACAATTCATTCCAGAAAATAAGAGGAAAAAATTTCTATCCATTTTATAAATCTAATATTACGATGGTACCCAAATTAGGCATTGTAAACAGAATGACAGTTGCAAAATACTATACCTCTTAAATAAAATCCTATTATTCTTTAAAATTAAAAAGATAGCAAGTTGATTCAGTATTATACAGGATAATTATAAACCCTGACCACATGAAGTTAAATTTTAAGCGTTAAGTCTGGTTTAATACTTAAAACTCAATAATTCTAATCCACTATATTAATAGGATACTGTGCAAGAATTAAAACATCATATATATTTATTTTAAAAAACCAGTTGGTAAAATTCTATATTCATTAATGATAAAAAAAGGACACAGTTAAAACTACCAAGAGTTCCTCATACTAACAAAGAATACCTATAAAACTAACTAGGCACAGTGGCTAAAGATGAACTGATTTTTCAGTTAAGATTAGGAAGAATAAAATGATACAATTTCATCACAACTATTGGATGTCTACAGACTACTGGAGGTTTGGGTGAGGAATGTAAGAGAAGAATAAAAAATATATGCACAGGTAAATCAGAAAAATATACTGTCCTTTTTGGAATGTGTCAGAAATAATCTGACATCGTGCCTTTCTGTGTTTATAACCCCTGTGTGAATGAATTACGATTTGAGAAAAAATAAATTAAAAAAAAAGAAATAATCAAAGGCCCCAAACCTTCTACAACTATGAGATAAGAAGACTGTAGACATGCAAAACTCAACTGCATTTCCATACAGTAACAAATCACTATCATAGCTATAATATATTCATAATAACTGAACAAAAATGAAGCACTTGGGTATTAATTTAACAGAGCAAATACCAGACACATGGCAGTGTTACATGCCATAAAAACAGGCATAGGAAGCTGATCACAGAAAACAAAGACATTTAAACAAAAGAACAAGGAGAAATGGCTTCAAGAACTCAGTGTAATAAAGACTGAAAACTGAGATTACTATATCATTTACATGGAAAGGGAAATGAACACAAAATAGCTAAGATAATTTTGAAAACTAGACCAAAGTGAGAGTGGCCAATACATCATTTTTTAATCAATGTATTGCGATAGAAAGTCATATACAAGGGTAGCATTGGACTCAGGATGTAGGTAAGGTGACTTGAATTCACATTCTTCCAATATGTCCCCCCAACCCATCCTCCAGGTTACTAGAATCACAGATATAAGCTATCACGCTGGGTTTATGTGGTGCTAGATGGCAGAGCTGGGGCATGGTGTATTTTCTGCAAATGTTCTACCAACTGAGTTATAACCTCATTTTCCCATTCCATTTCAAGATATACATAGTCACTATGCTCAAGCCAGTTCAGGATTGGAAGAGAAACAGACAAGACCAACAGGGGGCAGAAAACACAAATGTAGATGCGCATGAATAAAGCCAATTGATTGCAATTTTACAACAATGAAAGTTAGTGAATAGAAGAAAATTGCCTGTTTTGAAGTAACTGAATGCCTGTCAACAAAATGGAAAT